GTCTGTCAACAACATTGAAACATGGCGGCACCCGCGATCTCCGACGACAGTTTAAACCGCGTTTTCTGTGTTACAGTCGCATGCTTGCACTGTCATGTTAAGAAAATAGCATCCATTGATGTATCCAAAAAATTCAGTGAACTATTTGATGAACACCACGGGCCGAGTAAAAACCGAAGGCGGAGGAGGACGGCGGCGGAGGCGGCAGCGCGCCCCGGCCCCCCGAGTCCGGAGTGGGGAGAAAACTAAATAGGTGGCGGTGGCGCCTATTTATGTCTACTTGTTTTATGTTTTATGGTTATTTTGTTTAAATTTTTGATGGGGAAAAAAAAAAAACTTTGTCCGACCTACCGACCCAATGCTGAAATTTCATGTTACCGGAAACACACTATCTTTTTTGTTTGGCCTAAGCTATTCACTTCGGGGCATATTCTGCCATGTGCTTAAGTGACAAATCGATTTAAGTGAGCCATTCACGCACCTTCATGGAAGTACACACTCTGGGTGGACCTAGTGTGCAGTCTCCCAAAGACTTAATGACTTAAGCGCCTTTGCACTTGTGCACTCCACAGGCTGCAGAAAGTCTGACACCCCGTGAAGGTGAAACGTCATATAGCACGTTTTGAGTCATTTCAGCCGCTCCAACCCGGTTGACTCGTGCTGACGTGCAGGGGGGGCACACCTGGCCCGTATACGCTCACTGACTGCCCAACGGCCGTAATGTGTCCATCCCAGAAATGCAGACGGACAAACATCGATATTATATCATATTCATTGGTGAAAAACAGAATTGAGCACCAGGGGGCTTTATTTCACCTTGCAGGAGCATTTCCGCATGCCGATGAGTTTAAAAGCGGCAATCACAAACTACTACGGTCATCCTCATGGTGCCGTGAGTTTGATTTGAGTTGTTTTTATTCGGGCATGCCTGGCTTTGGTCCTCCAGGGCTGCTGTCCTGCATGTTTCACATGTCTTATTGTACATGACAAGCAGGGGTTCACTGTAAGTATTGCTTAAAAGGGGAAAATGGGTTCAAAACCTAAACAGATCAATCTTATATTTGATTCAATTTTAATTGCATATACTTAGACTTGGAGGTATGCGCTCTGTGACTGCGACTCTATTTAAAGCAACAGCTGCTCTCAACTGAGGTGAAATCTGCTTTCGGAATGACTGCCTGGTTAATATGGCTGCACGTGCCTCTCTGCCAACCAAATAAGGAAATTTTTGTTTTTATTCTGGTAATAAGGAGTTAGAGTGCCGCTTGGTCATTTTCATGAACAGAAGATGTGATAGAGATGAAATCAGTGCAACTCACGTGCTCCTGTCTGTCTGTACTACAATGACACATTGCATTCCAGCAGGGCAGCGTGGCAGACACTGCTTGCTGCTGCCTCGCTTTTATTCTCGAATGGTGGGAACGTAGCACTTCCTGTGGGGGAGGTTGGAACGTGCATGAAGAAAGCGAGGGGGAGGGGCTTAGCGTATGCATCTCTGCAGTGCCAGACAGACCCACGTGAATTCAGCCCACAAAGGACAGTCCTCTGCTTTCTTCAGGCAGCCGTGTCTGATTGGACATCAAGATGCCAGACAGCATTGGGAGGCCAATAGAAAAGGGTCTTCATGTGTAAGCTCGATGAGGACACTTACGATAGAGGGATATAAATGTGTCATCGATAAAGAGCAGAAGAATCCCGGAGGACAAACAACAGCACGCCACTTACATCGTGGGAAGAAGTGCCAGCTCCGCAGCTGAAGTTGAATTTTTGGTTGCGTTATTTTTTTTCCTTTCCTTTTTAGAGCTCATGTGACATGTACACAGACAGTTATCTGGGTTGAGCAAATAGGAGCAAAGGCCCAGCAGTGTGTCATAGCTACCTCCACAGAGGGGCTAACTATAGAGAAGAGTAGAGTCAATTCCGAATGTAAATATTCATGTTTATGAACAGTTCATAGAAATGAAAATGCAACTTAATCAAGGCCAAGTTACCTAATTGTATCTTAGACAATACAGTACTGAAATCTTCAGGTGGAGGGAACAGTGAAAAGCTTGTCAAAATCACGCATTACTTCAAAATGGTTAGCTGAACATAAAAACATCTTACTTAGTTTCAGTGAGCAATGACAACGTTGGTCTTCAGACTAAGGGCCATATATTTTAGCTCAGCGCACGTCTAGCGCAAAGCGCAGTCGAGGTGTGAGCATGGGTGAGAGTTTTCTTTCTTTCTTTTTTGGTCGGAACGCAGTTGTACCGCTGTGCGCCGTAGTGGGATGACGAGTCTTGGCCAATTGTTGGCATCCTTCATTTTGCGTTACAATCAGGGCACTCGGAGCTTGACGTCACAGAAGCACAAATAGAATCATTGATCTGTCAATCAGGAAATAATATTATTTTTCAAGTAACAAAATGAGATTTTTTTTTTTATCTTGTGTGAAAATATTTTTAAGATGATAATGATGATAATTCCTTCAATGAATTGATTTCTAGAATAATTATGAAGGAATGTACTAGGTTGGTGTCATATTTATGAAATGAATTTGGTGACGTGAACTGCACACATCCGCGGAGAGCCAAATCTGTCATCCTGCGCCTCAATTAAATACACCAAAATCATGTTAGACCACCTGTGCTGCAAAATAAACCTTCTTTTGAGAAGTCTAAAATTGAGTCAATTTTTTGTGAGCAAATTTGCAGATGCGCTGCGGGCGAGGCAGAAATCCCAAGCGAGGCATCACACATCTACTGAATTCACACTGTATTAGTCCATTACCCTGGCATGAAAAGGACAAATCACTCGGTTATACGCTGAGCGCAGACTACTTTCTGTCACCAAATTGTACGATGACTCAGGAGCATGTAACTCTGTGTGCCGAAACGCCCAAATGGGCGTAACATGTGCCCAAGCACACTAGACTAGATTTGCGTTGGCA